AACACACACACACACACACACACACACACACACACACACACACACACACACACACACACAGTATTTTATTATCTCAAACGGACAACCTAAAAAGTCACTGACCTTCACAGTGATGACACCCTTGCGACCGACTTTCTTCATCGCGTTGGAAATTACATTCCCAATCTCGGTGTCGCCATTGGCTGATATGGTGGCAACCTAAAAGACATAACCAATGTGTTATTTAATCTATAGGTACATTCAACCGGTGTTAAGCAGTTTGACCTTCTTGTTAATGAACGCACGCACCTGTGCAATCTCCTCAGGTGTGGTGACTGGCTTGGAAAGGCGCTTGAGCTCACTGATGACGGTTTCAACGGCCATCATGACGCCGCGGCGGATTTCCACGGGGTTGGCACCCTTGCTGATGGTGTCAAAGCCCTCCTTGGCGATAGCGCGTGCCAGCACGGTAGCGGTGGTGGTACCGTCGCCTGCCTCCTCGTTGGTGTTGTTGGCTACGTCCTGCACCAGCTTGGCACCAATGTTCTTGTACTTGTCCTTCAAATCAATGCTCTTGGCCACTGTCACGCCATCCTTGGTCACTTTCGGGCTGCCCCAGCTCTGCTCGATGATGACTGTGCGGCCCTGCAACAGACACAATAATCAATTTTTTTAAATTCTTATTAGGTTGTTGTTTTTTTAATAACACTAACCAAGTGACTAAACAAATTGTGTTTGACTGTTGCATTCGCTGTCATTTTGTACCTTTGGGCCCATTGTCACGGCGACAGTATCGGCCAATAGGTCAACCCCTTGCAGCATGAGGGCACGGGCATCTGCGCCGAATTTGACATCCTTGGCGTAGGCACGGGTGAGGTGAGGCGCGAGCTTCCGGCACACGGGCCTCACCTGCTTCATGATTGTGGGAAGATGAAACATATCTGTGGAAACAAAGAAGAAGAAATGTGGCATTATTATTAAATGCCGCTGTTTGATAGTGTGTTTATTAAAAAAAAAAAAAAAAAAAAAAGATGCTTGCCAAGTATGATTGGAAGCAAAGTACGAGTAGGCAATCATTGTCTGAGTCCATTTGTCCCTTCCACAACACCATACAGAAGAGGCCCTTTGTGGCCATTGGTGCAATAGGAAACGAATGAATGAACTTACACTTGACTATTTCCAATTGAGTAACAACACAACTGATTGGTTTATTAGCATTTTGTTTACATTTGAATCAGTTGAAACGAAACCTCATACTTCAATTCACATACTATTAAAATACATTTGTACCATTGCTCCAAAGCAATTAAATTTCACCCAAAGCAGCCTCCGGTGCCTTTGGCGTAAACGCGAACGAGCTATTTGATGAACGTGACATTGCTAATTCAACAACCCACGTGTCCTCGTGCAGGGTCGTGCGTCACAAGGTCAAATAGCAAAAACGCATGCGCAAGTACCTCTCCATCTCTCCACGCCTGATGAACAACCACTACTACAGTACTACGATCATTCCCTTCTGAAAAGCTCGTAAATTCAGTCACCAAATTAAAGTCACTCTCCCTTCACATGATACCCACCACGCAATTACATGATTGTTCATCGTGGACCCTCTGGTGTAACATTATCTCCGTTTAGGATATTTATTTGAGCGTGAAACAATAACTTAAGTAAACGTGTCTTTGCAGAAAAGTGGTCAAATCTGTTAGCAAGGAGCAAGTGAAGCTTGTGACCCCGCAGAAAAGTGGTCAAATCTGTTAGCAAGAAGCAAGTGAAGCTAGGTAGCTAGCTAGTCACATTTTTATCTTCTCGTCTAAGCAAATTGTTTTGTTATGAGCCAGTGTAGCTACAATGACTGTTAGTTGTAGCCGTTGGCATAAGGTAATTGAAATAATATTAACACTTACTCGCAAGGTGTGTGTTGTTAGAGCGGCTGCAGAGGAGGCACGTCTGTCAGACGAGGTGATATAACGACTGGAGGTGAGGGCTGACTGATGGAGACGCACATGGCCTATCACACATCCGGGTACTTCGCCGGCAAGCCCCGGATTCTGAATAACGTCATTCCTGTCACAAAAAGTCATTTTTGTCGCCTTTTATAGATATATTAAACCATATTTAAATTGTAATAATTGGTTCGTACAATAAAAATTGCAACAACGATTCCATTTTACCCCGTAACTGTAAAAAGGTTGAGTTTAGATAAATGAATGCTCGTTCCGGGGCGAACTTTCCAGAAAATTCTCTTTGCCCTATTGGAGGAAAAAAAAAGAGGTCAAAGTTGACATTGTGCAATGTTGCTCAATGCGGAAATTGATTAAAAAGCTAAATAGTGGCGTATCAATTTTATTCCTTATCAAGATTATTCTAATAATAAGCGACATTTTTTTGTAAAAAAAATGACATTATTTCGATTTACCACGAAACTTGCTGGAATTTCCTCACTCTTTCGAGAGCACGCTCAGGTCGTACGCAGGGCGCATGCGCACAAACCTTTCTGGACGTTTCCTCACGTGGAGCGATTCTCCTTGATCAGGTTGTCACATCCACCCTCACCGAGAACAACCTCGAGTGGGATCCACGCGCCGTCGACCTACAGACGTCACAAATTAAGTCATGGTAAGCTTGCACACAGCTGTTTACATATTAGTGCTTACATAAATATGTTATTTCTGTAGTTCCTTAAACCTCCTAGCTATCATGCTAACATATTTGCCGGCTAGTATCGAGTAGCATGTAATGTTAGCCTTCCATAACCAGTCATTGACAAGGTCATGCAACTAAGCAAACAACTGACTCATAACATTTATTAAACTTCCTAATAAACATGACCGGGATGAGGCATAATGAGTAGGTACCGTAACCTAAGGGGTAATGAATGAACACCATGTGTTATTTGGGCGTGATTATATTGTCAAGACTGAGCTTCAACCACGTGTTAACAGCGTTATTCATTTCCATAGTAATTCACTGATGTGAACTACGCATTAAGATAGTATGTTTTTTCCTTTGGCTGTTTTGTGTAATTCCCCCTCAGAAGAGTACCACTGATGGCAAAGATGATTGAAAATGTGATGATAACCATAGACAAGAAATTATTGTGACATAAAAAACCCATTTAGCTGTGCAGGATAATTTAAGCAGGTCTGTTAACGAAACCTCATGAGGGTTTTAATAAGTCCGTGGGAAAAGTAAAATGAAACAAAATGACTGGCAATTGTTTCCTCTCCATAGTGTGTCTGTTAGGTGTTTTCGTGGTGTACTCAGTTTTACTTTATTCTAGTTTTATGATACAGTGGTTAATTTGGAAAGGCAATTAGTACTGTTCATTTGAAGAACATGGGCAAATAGGGATAAATTGTACCCGGTAGGCAATTTATCTATCCTATTGGAGTGTTGTATCAAGGACATTTTTTCATAAAAACAAAACAAATTTACAGTGAAATGTCCATGGAATATCTACTGTGAAACACATTCCTTAGTTTCGTGTTTGCAATTCAATGACCCCCATAGCCTTCAACCAACTCCCCCTCCCCACCCACAAGCGACCTTGAGTCAATGTCACGTGAACGTCTGCCGTGCCTAGCCCATCACTTTTACAGCTAGCTGATGTCCGTTCAAATTGCCAGCTAAACCCAAAATGAAGACCAGATGACTTTCATTGCACTCACTTGATTAACTTTTGTCATGTGCCTCCCACTTCCACCCAACCATCCCATCATGTTAATCATTCCTCATGGCCGATTCTAACAACATTTTAACCAAAACCAAGCTTATTCAAGTATGACAACAATTTAAATGTAATTCATTTGGCACTAAGTTCACTTTGCAGGTTGACAGTAAGAGTTGAAAAAAAGCCTCCAGTTGATTGATGGGGAAAAAACATTGACACCCTCCTGGTGGGCTGATGTAGTCACTGGAGTTTTTACAATATTAAGAGAATTAAGTCACAATATGCTCTCAAAAAAGGAATAATAAAAATAACACGTTTAACATTAAAGTTCTGGTCAAAACATTATCCAAACAGTAATACCTTTATATATTAAAAAAAAGATACATTTTCATGTATTCTTCATTTAACGTTAAAACTGCAAGCATGCCACCTTTTTCACATCATTTTGCTATTGGTTTGTAAAATTTCGCAGGCCTTCAGAAAATTCCTGCCACTGTTCGACCGCGTGCTGGTGGAACGTTTCACGGCGGAGACGGTAACCAAGGGCGGCATCATGCTGCCTGAGAAGTCTCAAGGCAAAGTGCTGCAGGCCACAGTGTTGGCAGTCGGACCCGGATCTGTCAACCAGGTCAGAACATGATAAAGTGTTTGGGGGTCAAAAGCATGTTTTTTTTTCATCTTGTAATACAACCAACTCGATTGTTGATGTTTTTCTTGGCAGAAAGGAAATTTACAGCCAGTCAGTGTGAAGGTCGGTGAGAAGGTCCTCCTACCAGAGTATGGTGGAACCAAAGTCACTTTAGACGATAAGGTGTGGTACCTTTTTTGTCTAATCAAGCTTTTTATAGTTGTCTTGCATTTCATACTTCATGGTCTCGTTTTGCCATGTAGGAATACTTCCTGTTCCGCGATGGAGACATTCTGGGCAAATATGTGGATTAAGGCAAGATGTGCTAGAAAGAAGATAGAGAAAGCGAGAGAAGAAGAAATCATGTCTTTTTTTTGTTTGTTTGTTTTGTTTATGCCAACTGTAAATAATTCTAATCACATTTTGTTACAATAATAAAAATGGGCCATTGCCTTCTGTCTCAACGTACACTGTTTTCCATGATTACTTTTTGGTGTTAAAAAAAACTTTTAAATGGTAATAAAGCTTGTCACTGTTTTGTAAAATGTTAGTGTAACATTGGACTGACACGAGGAAAATATGATTTAAGATTGAACAAATCCTATATTGTGAGTGTTTGTTATTTAGAGCTCTGAGGGTTTATTCCTATTGTTTTATAGTTGCAGGGGTGGCTCGTCAATAGATGGTTCGAGGGTGCCGCCCAATCGCCTAGCTGGGTCATACTGAATTTGGCAAAAATTAAAAAATGAAACAAAAAATATTTAAATATTTGTACTATTGTATATCTCTTTTAGATGAGCAGCATCAATACTATAACGTTATTGATGAGTAATATTGATTACTTTATCCATTGATGATGCTACACCGGGAGTTATATTCCACTCCCGTCAGCAATCTACCAGTTAAGTCTCTCCAGCATTTTATTTTCTCAGCCCTTGTATGGTCTTCGTCCTGGGAGAGATGATGGACTCTTCTTCAAAGTGTGACATGTATTATAGTGGATTTGGAGCTTGTGTTAGACCTTAATGAAACCCAGATGTATGATCGTCTCATACATATATATACACCAAAATATTTGTTACATATATACAACAAAGTGATGAATAACCAGTTTTGATATCAGAGGCAAGTTTAAAATGTTCAAATATTAGATTTATTTTAAAAGAGTGATTGGTAACAAAAATGCTTGCAATATCTAACAATTTTAAAAGTGAAGAATGTTTGCAATTTTGGTATTTTAGCAACAAACATGAACTCGAGGCACATAATTTGCTTTACTCCCGTGCCTCGAGTCTTGACACCTGTGTTCGATGGTGACAGGGTGGGTAGCATAAATTGCTTCGTTAGTGAAGGGAGTTGTTTTTTCTGGTGTTTTTTTTTTTTTTTTTTTTTTGGTTTGTTTGTTTATTGAACATAAAACATATACAGTAATAATTTGACAGAAAATAAGGTAAATAAAATAGTAAAGAGGAAAGAGAAATCAGTCATCATTCAACACAGTTATGTTCAAGGGAGTAGGAAGAAGTAAAGAACTTATCTAGTCCTACCCCGTGTTATATGTTTATATCTATTGAATCATTTTTATATCAATCAGAAAATAAAGAAAGTAAGAAGAAAGAAGTCTCCATTAAGGCTCATACTTTACCCTTAACCGTGATATTTTTATACTTTTGGTTTGTATCGGGATTTTATACATACACACCCTGGCACTCTTGTGTTAATTTTCTCTTGTATTCATAATGGATATTTCAATACCTTTCTCTATTTATCAACTTAGTTCTGATTTATCATTATATTTAATGTTTAGAATTTATCATTTTAACTCTGATTGATGTAGATAGTTTGTACTATTTTTTTTAATTTGTTTTTGAACTCAGCAAGCGATTTACTCATTTTCAGGTCCGTTTCGAAATTATTCCACAGATTAACACCTTTGATAGATACACTTCTTTGCTTGATGTTTGTTCTTGTTTTGAGTTTTTTGAATAAGTTGGTACCTCTTAAATCATAGCTGCTTTCTCGAATTTCGAAAAACTTCAGAATGTTTTGTGTGAGTTAGATCCCCAGCTGGACTCTGTTTGCTTTAAGTTGGTACCTCTTAAATCATAGCTGCCTTATGACTTTTTAAACAATTTGATTTTTTTTCTTAAAGTGTCGCATAAGTTAACTACAACTCACCTTTATTCATACGGCAATGCACAACAGCCCCTTTGTTTGAATGGCGGATGCCCCGCCCACCATAAAAAAGTTGGTAATACAGTACAGTACTGAGGTTCTCCATAACCAGCGAGCAGCCTGTCGTCATTTCAGTAACATGATAATGAATATGATTCTCACCCCACAACATTTTTTATACAATCTTGAAAAACACACAAATTAGCTTGGAAAACGATGTATACATGTAACGAATGACGTACAGAAGGCTCTCGGCTTCAACATACGACATTTTAAGGTTACGACGCACAGTGCAATAAATCCCATGCTGTTTTTCTTTTGACTGTTTTATTTTTACGACCAATAATTGTTTTTCTTACAAATGTGTATCTGAGTGAAATACTGTTTTTATTGTTACCTTATAAGACGTCTCATTCCGATACGTACAAACTCGTCGTAATATTTTTGTAGTATCAAGAAGACGTGGGTGTAACACAAAATTGAAAGTACTTTAATGAAGGAACTGTATTGAACTTAGTGCACTACTACGAAATATATTTAAAGTGTTTCGACGTTGGTGAC